CAACCCACCCACCTACCCGCCCACCCACACATCCACTTCACAAATATTTACCAGGTTCCTGCCAAGCTCAAGCCAGGTATGGTCTCTGGGCATCCACAGTAAGAAACACAAGCATAGGCTTTGCGCTTGCAGTTTACAATCTAACAAGGAGAGGCAGTAGCCAGGCAAAAAATTAAACCCAAGGAGCTCACACAGTCATGAGAGCTGTGAAGAGAATCGAGAAACATGGTGGGCTGGCCGCTGGTGGCTCATGCTTGTAACCCTAGCTTCTCAGGAGGCAGAGATCAGAAGGATCATGGTTCAAAGCCAGCCTGGGCAAATAGTTTGCAAGACCCTCTCTTGAAAAACTCTTCACAACAAAAAGGGCTGGTAGAGTGGCTCAAGGTGTAGGCCCTGAGTTCAAGCCCCAGTACCACAAAAAACAAAAAAAAAAAAAAAGAAAAGGAAAGAGAAACATGGTGACACAGCAAACTGCATTTGAGAGCATTATTTAGGGTTCTCCAGAGAAACTCTGTGTGTGTGTGTATGTGTTTTATAAAGATATATTTGAGGAATTGGTTCATGTGATTATGGAGACTGAAAAGTCCCACTGTGTGCCATCTGAGAGCTGAAGAACCAGGGAGTCCCATGGCTTAGTCCAAGTTCAAAAGCCCGAGACTCAGGGAGCTGTAGTCAAGTCCAGGAGTCTGAAGGCTGGATAACCTGGAGTTCTGACATCCAAAGGCAGGAGAAGAGGTCTCAGCTCCAGAAAAGAGTGAATTCCTCTATCTTCTGCTTGTTTGTTCTATGTGGACCCTCAACCAACAGCCAGGGGATGTGGACAATGGTCCAGCGGTTCAAATGCCAATCTCTGCATCCTATGCCCACAGACACAACCAGAAATGATGCTTTACCAGATGCCTGGGAACCCCTGAACCCAGGCAAGTTGACACCCAAAGCTAACCATGGCAGACGGTGACAGGTGAGGGTTTCTTTAGCTGGGATGGGCAGAGAAGACTTCTTTGAGCAGATGACCTTTGAGGTAAGACCTGGATGCCAAGATGGAGCAAAGGTCTGGGGTAGAGTGTCCCAAACAGAGGTAACAGCAAGGTGCAAAGGCCCTCTGGCTTGGACAAGCTGAGCTTGCAAGGAACCAAAGAAGGGTGGAGGGGTTGAAGGGTGTGAGTGATGGGGAAAGGGACCAGACAGGTTAGCAAAACCCTAGACCCTCACAGCCAAAGGGCCAGCCCAGTGAGCAGTGGACAATCAGGTGTCCCCAAATGCTCAGGTAGAATGTGACAGTTCTGGTGTTCTGCTCCAATATTGTGCAATTCTACTTTCCTTACACTCGGTAAGACAGACCCCCTTACAATCACAGTTACCTACCATCTACTATAGCCCAAGAATATTAAATGGAAAATCTCTAAAATAAGTCATAAATTTTAAATCACTTTTATTATACTATATTGTTATAATTGTTCTATTTTATTAATAGTATTATTGTTGATCTTTTACTGTGCCTAATTTGTAAATTAAGCTTCATCATAGGTACGTACGTGCAGAAAAACACATGGTACATAGAGGGCTCAGTATACCTGCGAACCTCAGGTGTCCACTGGGGATCTTAGAACAGATTCTTCTTGAATAAGGGGAGGTTGCTGTCATGTTATTTCCAAATATTCTGTTAGAACCTTGTCTGTGGTTATGAGCTTCTGAAAAAGTCAACCACAAAAAACCTCTAGCTTTGACCCCAGCTAGACTCTGCCCTGTCCCTGGAGAAGTCACAGGTATGGCTCTTCAGGCTGGAAGCTACATGTGTTCCTCTGTTCCAGGCTCCTGTCTGCCAGGCCTGAGCCAAGAGTTGTTTGTTTTGTTTTGTTTTTAGTGGTACTGGGGTTTAAACTCAGAGACTCGCGCTGGTCGGGCAGGCAGTATCTAATGCTAGCTAGCGTCTTTGCACCTGCTGTCCCCTGTGGGCCTCAGTCTGGCTGTGGGAAAAGATCTGACACCAGGGAGAAACAGCATCAGCCATGCCGGGTCATTAGAGCCTCCAGGAATTTCAGCTGGGCTTCAATCCTATGCAGACAGGGACGGTTTGAGGAGGACCCCCAAGGAGCCAGAGCAGAGTCGGTGGTGACCACATGGCCCAGATCAAGGCAAGTCCTGGGCAGACATAATGGCTGCTCAGTGGAAGCCACCCAGACTGGGCTTTGAAAGAAAGGCTCCTGTCCCCAGAGATACTTAGGCTCTGGGGTTGAAGTCGGGGGGCGGGGGACAGGAGGCTCTCACGGCTCTGAAAGCTCTTTGTCAGGCAGAAGGAATTAATAGGACAACAGCATTTTGGTGTTCAAGTAGCCTCATTTGTTCTGGGTGAGTGGCTGTGGGGCAGAGGGTCACAGGCGGAAAAGCAGCTCTGACAATGTATGCAGAGTCTCAAGCAGGGAAGGGCTGTGGGTCTCTAGGCCAGCAAACCCACAAGGGGGCGCCTGTGGTGCAAATATCACAATGCAGAGACCCCTTTGTACAATTAATGTATGCTAATAATAAATGTGTAACTTTTTGGCAGTACTGGGGTTTGAACTCAGGGCCTCACACTTGCTAGACAAGTGCTCTACCACTTGAGCCACTCCACCAGCCTTGTTTTGTAATGGGTTTTTTCGAGATAGGGTCTGGTGAGCTATTTGCCTGGGCTGGCTTTGAACCATGGTCCTCCTGATCTCCCAAGTAGCTAGGATTACAGGTGTGAGCCACCAGTGCCCAGTGCTAATAACAAATTTTAAAAAGAAGTGCTACCTACACCAACGTTCAAAGCCCGGTCAGGCCCCGAGGCTGCCATGGAGACTAAGAAGGTGTCTACCTGACCAGGGACCATGAGAAGTCAGACCCTCTTAGCCATGGGTCTCCTCTGCTGCAGACCATAATGCTGGGGTGGCTGAGAGTCTCCTCAAGGTTGAAGGACAGAAGAAGAGAGAAGAGAAGAAAAGGATGGAGGGGAAAAGGAAGGATAGGAAGGGAGAGAGGATGGAGGCACGACTCAGGTCAAAGCCACCCAGTCAGAGGCATTCTGGGAAGTGATGGTTAATTTTATGTGTCACCTCGACTGGGCTACAAGGTGCTCAGATATTGGTCAGTTCTGGGTGTGTCTGTTGAGGGCATCTCTAGATGTGATTAGCACTTGAGTACATAGACCAAGTGACACAGTTGGCTTTCCCGAGCATCTTGGGCATCATCCAATCCTTTGAGGGCCTGAATAGAACACCAAGGTGAAGGAAGGGAAGTTTCACTCTCTCTCCTCCTGATTGCTGAGCTGGAGCAACACCATCAGCTCTCCTGTCTCTAGCTTGCCAACTGTAGACCATGGGAGATCACAGGCTCCATCTTTATATGAACCAATTCCTTCTCTTTCTCTCTCCCTCCTTTCTTCTCTCCCTCACTCCCCCTCCTCTCTCTCCCTTCCCTCCCCTCTCCCTCCTTCCCCCCTTCTTTCTCCCTCTCTCCCTCCCTACTTGTCTCCCTCCCTTCCCCCTTCTTCCTCTCTCTCTCTCCCTCCCTTCCTCACTCCCTTCCTCTCCACTCCTTCTGTCTCTCTCTCAGACACTTGCTAAGTATCCCACACTGGTCTTGAACTTGAGATCCTTCTGCCTTTGCCTCCAGCATGCTGGACCTACTGGTATGCACCATGAACCACCATGCCCGTTCAATGAATCCCATTGGTTCTGTTTCTCTGTGGACTCCTGATTAATATATCCTCTCCAGCTCTGAAGTGCCTCTTAGTGGCTCTCTGTCCCGGGACCTTATTTATTTCCTTACTGGAGCCTGACACCATCTGCAATGACAGTTTGTTTCCTTATTTATATTCTACCCATAAGAATCTAAGGCCTGCCCAAAACAGCAGGCCTTGTTTAACGCACAGCTACAATGCCTGGCACTTAGCAAGCACTCAACAATTATTACGGAAGCAAAGATGGAAGGAAGCAGTGGAAGACAAGAAAGATAACAGGTAATATGAGCAAAAAAAGAGAAGTGGTTCCCCAAAATATCCCAGGAGCTTCTTGTGAGCCTCTGGCCCAAGTTTTGGCCCAACGCTGCTAACACAAGTCATCTTGCATTAATTCCCAGGACACACGATATGTTTGTTTCTGAAACGAAGTGCTGCCTTCCTCATCCTGGAGTACACTGCCTGTCACAGCCTATGCTCCAAAGAAATGTCATGCACACCCTAAGGGTTGTTCAGAGGCTGGGCTCAGTGTTTCTGTTTCGTTTTTAAACATTTTGTTGGTACAATATAACCTGCTTATTAAAATCTTGGCCTCCAAGACAGTCCACCAAAAGTCCACAGATGACAAGTCTGAAACTAGACCAGCATAAGAATGGCCAAGCAGTACTGGCTCAGGAAGGGAAACCCCTCACTATACTTCGGAGGAAGAGTGGCTGAGCAGAGAGCCATCACAACTGGACAGAGTGGCTATCCTTCCTCTGCAAGTCTTCAACTAAGGATCAGAGTTCAAATGATGCCAACAGAAGGCTATCCAACCCACTTACCAAAACTCTGCACCAAGCACTTTTTGGTCCGTTCTTAGCTTATTCCTAGGTACCATTTTAGCTGAACATGGTGTCTTAGACTACTTAGGCTTCTATTAACAGAATACCATAGTCTGAAGAGCTTATAACTAACAGACATTTATTTCTCACAGTCTGGAGGCTGCGAGTTGGAGCCCAGCATACCGGGACGTTTAGGTTCTCTGAACCACTTCCTGATTCACAGATGGCCAACCTCTTGCTCTGTCCTCCCCTGGCAGAAGGAGCAAGGGAGTTCTCTGAAATCTGTATTATGAGGGCATTAACCCCAATGAGGAGGCCTCCACCCTCATGACCTCATCACATTCCCCAAGCCCCACCTCGAATACCATCACATTGGGGGGTGGGGGACACAAATATTGTCTATTGCACATAAGTTTATTTGTCCTGGGTATCACATCCCAAGGCTCCTGAGGCCTGTTATATAAAGAGAATCCCTGCTCTCATGGAGAATGATCTGAACTTGAATCTCCATGCAGGAAGCTGCTGTCTCTTGGAGGGAAGGAGGTGGTTCATGGTCTCCCGGTGCAGGTCAGAGCAAGAATGGCGCAAACATCTTGGCGGTCAGAAGCTGCAGGTCATTCCTTCTCTTTGGGAGGGTTTTACCTGGCAGCTGGGAAGCCCAACTCGGTCATCTCCACCCACACCTAGGTGGGCTGTGCTCAGAAGTGATTCCCTCCTTTCTCCTGGTTCCTCTGCTCTGCTGATTCTGAACCCTGAGATTGGCGGTTCCAGCAGGTGTGCCCAGACCCAGAGCGGGCTCTGTCCTGTTCCCTGCTGGGCTGAGGCTTCTGTTTTCGGCATTTCCCTCTCTTAAGGAGGTGCCACTGGCTGGGTGCAGGAAAGTGAGGAGTGGAAAGAAGTGGCTCAGTCATCCTCGTCCTCATCCTCGTCCTCCGCGTCCTTGTTGGGGGCACATCTCTGGAAGCACTGCACCACGGTGGCCAGGAAGAAGCTGGAGATGATGGCGGCAATGGAGACAGCCACACCGGAGAAGATGATGATGAACAGATCTGTGAGCGACAGGCTGAACTTGCACTCGCTGAAGCTGGCCTCGGACAGCTCGTGCAGGGCCACCCTCCGGTTCTCCATGGGCAGGGAGCACTGGATGGTGTCGAGGCCTGCGGGGAGGCACAGGTGCAAGGAGAGAAAGGGTTAACCTGCAGCCCATCACTGCCCAGAAGGAGTGTTGACCAAGCCCTTCAAGTGGGAGTGTATCCCCAAAAACAAAAGGAAAGAAAAGCTGGCTTGAGTGGAATTTCAACTTTTTTTTTTTTTTTTTTTTAGTAGGACTGGGGTTCGAACCCATGGCTTCATGCTTGCAAAGCAGGCACTCTACTGCTTGAGCTGCACCTCCAGTCCATTTTGCTCCAGTTATTTTGGAGATGGGATTATTTTGGAAAGGAGACTAGGGGCTGGCCTCAAAACATAATCCTCCCAATCTTAGCCTCCCAAGTAGCTAGTATTACTCACTAGGTGTGAGCCACTAGCATCTGGCTAAACTATTTTTAAGCCTCAGAAGAATCACAAGGGAAAATCAAAGCATGCTGCTCCCTTTTGGTTTGGAGTTGCCTGGGTGCACCTTCTGTCTGGGGCCTTGGATCTCTGTAGCCCTCAGTGCCGACCAGGAGTGATGAGAAGGGGGTGACAGACACAGTGGGTGAGAGCAGTGCCAGCACATGGAAGGACCTTCCCAGCCACAGTGTCACTTCCCCAGTTGGAAGCCACCTCTGCTTCACAGCCCTCAGCGCAGAAGAGGAGTGAGGATTTGCGTAGCCGTGCAGGAACCCCACTGTCCTGAGATGGTTTCTCTTGACAAGAGTGGGGGAAATAAGAACACAGCAGCAGGTGACTTTTAGAAAGTGCTTGATACTTGGAAACTTGGCTGAGTCACCTTAAGACAGTATTAAACACAGGCTCCCAGACATACAGACACATCCCTGCAGACCCAGATTCAGGCAGGGGTGGGGTCCCCAACTCTGCATGTTTAGTAAGCAGGTGATTCTGCTGCTGGCCTGAGAAGCACTATTTTCTAGCTGTCCGAGTAGGGGTTTAAGGAGTTCAAGACCCTTTGGGACACTCACCCCGAAAATGACCAGAACAATTTTCTTAAACTCTGCTTTATACGTTGGAGTTGTCTAAGATTTCGCTTGAAAAGTGTTTGATTACTTTAAGGAGTTTTAAAGTCTCCAATCTAGAAAAATACCACAACTGAGTGTCAGTTGTGAGGGATTTATAAAAATAACCACCATCGCTATCACTATAAACTCCACATAGAATTTACCACAGGCCAGGCTCAGTTCTAAGCACCGTGAAACATGGACTCTTTAGCACTTATTTATTCATTCAGCAAGCATATGTGGGTATTGTGACTGTGCTAACAGATGATGATAAGCAAAGTAAACAAATCCCGTACCCCTCAGAGTGTAAATTCTAGCAGGAGAAGGTAGATCCTTGTTCATTCATTCAACAAATTTTGGGGGATAACTTACTATGTACTAGGTCCTGGGCTACAGCACAGAACAAAACAAAGCCCTTGCTGTCATGCACTGAGTAGGTCAAGAATGTATAATGTGGTCAGGATGAAACATCAGGAAGAGGTGGGAAAAGTGTCTGGGACAAAGTACTGTCTTCAGGTGGGATGGTCAGGAGGTATTATTTTAGCCATAGTCTGCAGGATGAGATGGAACCAGGCACAGGAGAACATTCTAGGCAGAGAGGAAGTTTGGAAAGAGCTCAGCCTCCCAGGAACACAGAGCATCCAGGATCAGTAGAGTGAGAAATAGAGAATGTATGATGAGCTGAGGCAGGAAAGGATGGACACCTGCTAAGATGAGGTCCCTGGCAACCAAGGCCTGTCCTCACCACCCAATGTCACTGGACATGAACCAGAGATGGAGACTTGAGAAATGTTGAGTCACTAAAGGCTGTTACCATGCACAAACTACTCATCTTTTCATTTGTTTGTTTTTGTTTTTGTTTTTGAGACAGGGTCTCACTACGTAGCCCAGGTTGGCCTCAAACTCACAATCTACTCATCTTGACTGACAGCATGTACAATACGAGCTGCATACAAGCCCCAAGGACTTCCATGATTCCACACTCCACAGACACAGGAGACACTTGACTTCAGCATGCATAAAAAGCTCAGATCTGTGATCTGGAAGAGGAGAGAAAAACAAAGTGGTAGTAGCTACGGTTGCATTGTACTTACTATGTAAAGACACTGTTCTAAGTGCTCCATCTGGTTGGCTGGGGGTGTAGCTCCGTGGCAGAGAGCTTACCTAGCATGTGTAAGGACCTAGGTTCCATTCCCATACTGAAAAAGCAAGCAATCTAAGTGCTACCTACAAATTAGCTCAATTCTCACAACCCTACACGCTAGGAACTATTGTTGCATCCATTTTCTGAGTGAGAAAGCTACAGCTCTGGGAATTTACGTAGCTGCCTTTGACCACACAGCTTCACAGTGGCCACAGCCAGGGTTTGAGTCTAGGCATTCAGCTCTGAAGGCTTAAACCTACCCTTTTCTTCAGTGGAAGTAACCAGAGATGGAGGACGCCATTTGGACGGTAAGCTCTCCTGCCCTTCCATCTTTGCTTACTTTTGGCTTCCTTCCATCTCTCAGGAAAACCTTCACTTGCTGTCTTTTTTTTAGCACTTCCAGGCTTCAAATCCAACCCATTTCCAGCACTATGTGAAAGTCAAGGTGATTTCTTCACCTTGCTAGTTGGCCAGCTTGGAAGTAGCAAAGAGCAGCCTTGCAAATTGCCTGAGTTCTTATTTCTGGTCTTTTCTTCTCCAGCTCAAGAATAGAAGATGAAGGAAGAGTGTCTGAGTGTCCTCCTTCCTTCTGTCCTGGTCCATCCCTTTATACATGCAGGGCTTCCCTCCCCATGGGAACTGTTGTCTAGCAACCAGACTGGGCACTCTCCCCTCTGCCTGAATCAGTGCCTGCTTTGTAAACCCAAGGAATTACAGGAACCAGAACTTTGTCAAGTTACATTTGACCAAAGTTTTTATTTTATTGTAATTATTAACACATGTTAATTGTAAAAATCAATGGGATTCACTGAGATACAGTTCTTTACAAGCACTGTAAAATCCCTCTTAACCACAGGATTTTTTATTTGGGTTTTTTTCAGCATTGGGGATTGAAATTCAGGACCTTGGCTTGCTAGGCAAACACTCTACCTCTTAAGCCACAACACAGTTCTTAGCCAGAGTTTTTGACTGTTTCTTTTTCTTTCTTTTTTTTTTTTTTTTTTAAGCACTCTCTACCACTTGAGCCATACCTCCAGTCCATTTTGCTCTGGTTAATTTGGAGATGTGGTCTCACAAACTGTTTGCATGGGCAAAAACCTCAATCCTCTCAGTTTCCCAAGTAGCTAGGATTACAGGTATGAGCCACTGGTGCCTGGCTTCTGCTTCTTTTTCTTTTCTTTTTTTTTCTTTTGCAGTACTGGGACTTGAACTCAGGGCCTACACCTTGAGCCACTCCACCAGCTCTTTTCATGAAAGGTTTGTTTTCAAGATTGGGTCTTGCAAACTATATGCCCAGGCTGTTTTCAAACCAAGATCCTCCTGATCTCTGCCTCCTGAGAAGCTAGATTACAGGCATGAGCCACCGACACCTGGTTGCTTCTTCTTCTTAAAAAGGTCAAACTTCTGCCTACCTCTGAGCTTTTAAAAGCAGTCAAGGACTGGGGGCATAGCTCAAGTGGTAGAGCACTTGCCTAGCAAGCATGAGGTCCTGAGTTCAATCCCTAGCATGGCAAAAGGAAATAAATAAATACAAATAAAAGCATTTGAATCAAACAGGAGAGCTTTAAAAGGACAGTTGTGTTGGGACTCCCTCGCAGACAAGGATTTGTTCAACGAAAAAGTGGAACAACCAATCGGCCTGCCTCCCCTTGACAGTCCACCGCACCCACAGATGCTCCACAAACCAGCAAGAAGGACCCCACTGTGCTCAGCAGATCACATGGAGTCCTCAGGCTCATAACAGACCTTGCGTGATTTAGTAGGAGCTATGCCTAGCAATCGTCATCTGCGGTGAGCAATGCCAACCGGAAAACAGCCTCAACACAGTGACACAAAGCCAGTCTTAGCTGGCCACAACTCCCTGAGTCAATTCTGATTTCCACAGTGTCCTTTGTGCCTGGAGATTATTCTTGGCATTTTTACAAAATGCAGACTTTAGAAAATGTCACCTCACATTTCTCTGCGGCTGGAAGGAAAGGGCTTGTTTGGAAACGAGTTACACAAGCCCACCAGGGGTGGGGACTGGGGCCAGTGCTTGGTGTGGCTATCATGATAAGATACACCGACTTAATGGCTTTCCCTTGCTCACAAAGGGCAGAGAAATAAGACAAGTCAGACAAAGAAAGACAGTCAGGTGGACAGGGCCCAGCAGAAGCGGGGAGGGGACTGTTGCTAGAGCCTTCTGCAAGGTCCCTTTGACCACTGCAGGGCTCTTGAGTTGGGGTTTGATTTTGGGTCCCCTCTTCTGTCCTGCAGAATTTTTAGGTCAGGGGGTCTCAGCACTGTGGATATTTGAGGCAGGAGGATTCTTGGGAGCAGAGCTGTATGAGCATCCCTATCCCTACCCAGTGTGGCAATCAAAAATGCCTCCAGACACTGTCATTGTCCCCTGGCTGGGGGAGGACAATGTCCTCTGGGTATAGCTAGGTAGGTAGTTGTTATAGACCGAATGTTTATATATAGGAAAAAAAGTTCATCTTTTTTCTCTCACTCAACAATCAAAACAGAAGAATTCTGCAGCCTCCACAAGTGTCAGGGGTTCTCCTATCTCAAAGCAGGCAGCTAATTCTGCAGTGGTCGCTAGTTCTGTCCTGACACTATGTACCTGGAAGTAGCAGCAAGGTCCCACAGGTCGAGGGCTCAGTCCCCAAGACCACCCCCACTTCAGATGCTATTTGTAAACCCCAGGTTGTAGCCTGTGTTTTTGGCTATGAACCAGGTTTCCACAGCCTTGGGTTCCATTAATTTGCTTGAGTGGCTTGCAGAACTCAGGGACATATGTTTGGTAGCCCTGAGTTCAAACCCTAGCACCACCAAAAAAAAAAAAAGGATTGTATACAATGTGTGTCTCCCCAAAATTCATGTGTTTAAACATGTGTCAATCAGCTTCCTGTTACTATAACAAAATACCCGGGATAAATGATTTACAAAGAAAAAGGGTTTATTTTAGTTCACAGTTTTGGAGGTTTCAGTCCATGATCAACTTGATCCCATCGTGGTGAGCTTGTGGTGAGCTTATGGTGAGGTAGAACATCATGGTTTGAGTAAGTGGTAGAACCAAACTGTTCCCAACATAAGTCAGAGTGCAAAGAGAAGACTGGGGTCCCAACAGCCCCTTCAAGGGCATGACCCTGTGACCTGAGAACCTCCCACAAGGCCCACCATCTCCCAGTAGGACCAAGCCTTTAACACATGGGCTTTTGAGGACATTCAAGATCCAATGCAGTGGTAATTTGGAGAAGGGCCTTTGGGAGATGATTAAGGTTACAAGAGATCACGAGGGTGGGGCCCTATGTTGGGATTAGTGTCCTTATGGGAAGAGACACTAGAGAGCTCCTCCTTCTGTCTTTCTGTGTCTCTCTGTTTCTTTCTTTCTCTTTCTCCGAGTCTTTGTCTCTGTCTCTTTTCTTTCTGTCTTTTTTTTTTTTTTGGTGGTACTGGGATTTGAACTGAGAGCCTCAGACTCCATAGGCAGATGCTCTACAACTTGAACCAGTCCACCAGCCCTGTTTTGTGTTGAGTGTTTTAGAGACAGGGTCTCACACACTATTTTCCTCAGGCTGGCTTCAAACCGTGATCCTCCTGATCTCTGCCTCCCCAACAGCTAGGATTACAGGCACAAGGCACCAGCGCCCAGCTCTCTGAGTCTCTTTCTCTCTCTCCCTCCACTAGTTAAGTGTCCTCTAATTATCTCTGTTTCTCTCTGCCACGTGAGAGAAATAAATTTGCCCATGATAAATTTGTCCATTCATCTACTCCCACCCACCCACCCATTCATCCACCCAGTCATTCATCTACTCATTCACTCATCCATCACAAAAAAGCTTCTTCAAACCTGGAGTCTAGAGATATTGACACAACAGGTTCTTCCCAGAAAAAAATGCCAGAAACTATCCATTTCTCTGCCTCCCCAGGGAGCTCACCCCACATGCCAGACTGACCTCTCGGTGGATAACTTCAAGTTATCAGCTAAGAATGGCAGATTGAGACCCCAGACCAAGGAAATGAGCCATTACACCCTGTGGCCTTAACACAGTGAGCAGGCAGCCTTCTGCAAACCAGGAAGCCAACCCTCTCCAGAGCCTGACTTCACTGGCACCACCTGTCCAAACCACCTGGTCTGTGAGCTTTGGCTTGGCAGCTTGAGCACACTGAGACACTGACTTCCAAGGCCACCTCTCTTAGTTGCTAATAGATTTTCAATTGGTAAACGGTTTCCTAGACTTCATGCACTAAACAAACCAGGTGAAGCTTGACACTAGGTGCCATGGAGGATAGGAAATAAAGAAAGAATGAGAATGAACGGGGGGTGGGGGGAGGTGCATAAGTAAACGCTGTTATTTGTCAACCAAAAATTAATTTATTTGAAAAATAAAGACATCTGCCAGGCACCAGTGTCTCACTCCTGTAATCCTAGCTACTTAGGAGGCAGGGATCAGGAGAATCGCGGCTTGAAGCCAGCCTGGGAAAAAATAGTTCATGAGACATTATTTCAAAAAAAAAAATCACAAAAAAGGGCTGTTGGAGTGGCTCAAAGTGGAGGCCCTGAGTTTAACCCCCAGTACCACAAAAAAAAGAGTGGGGGGGAACACATCACAGGTTGAGCATCCCAAATTAAAAAATATGAAATCCCAAATTCAAGGCTTCTCAAACACTGGCACCACATCACAAGTGGAGAATTCCATAGCTGACCCCAGGTGGTGGTCTACACTGAGCACATAGGTGCACAGGGATGGGGAGGGTATGGTGTAGGCACCAAAATACAGTTAGAGAGAAACTTCCAGTGTTCTACAGCACAGGAGGCTG